ACTTTTCATGGTACAGTCCTATAAGATTAAAAATGTTTTATTTTTTGTGTTTGTTTTTTACATATTATTTGTGTGAAAAGTATTATAAACCAATTACGGTACAGTACTATATAGCAGATTGTGTTTGTTGGGTACCTAGGCTAACTTTGTTGGACTTAAGAACATGCTCTCGGAACAGAACTCATTCATATGTAGGGGACTTACTGTATTCCCTGGGATACCTCCCTATGGGTCACTGCAACCACCCAGACCCAAGACCCTTCCCACACAGCTCTTCTGATCAGGGAAAGCACTCCCCAGCACCTTCCCTTGAGACCTTGGAGTAGTAATGTGCCTTGCTTTTACTAGATCCAAGGTACTGCACTCTCCTTTGTATTGTTTTTACATATTGCCTAGCCCTTTATAAATAGTCCGTTTATTAAACTCTCCTCAAATTGTCTAATTTGAATGTACCATATATATATTATTAACCCCAGGCTGATACAGAATCTAGTGGTGACAATAACCCAACAAGTTCTGTCCTCCAGGAACTAATCTTGAAGAAGGATATAGAGAAAAGTTTTTGAAAACAGCACTACTATTGCCCATTTCAAAAGTTTAAACAACAAAAAGGTTATTTTTGTGAGAAACTTCACTTTTACACCAAAGGTTTTGCAGTTTTGAACATATGCTTTTATTATTATGTTTTTTTGCCTGCCAGAAGACAAAAATTCATATGCATAGTCCTCTATTTCTTTCTTCACCCTTACAGTAACCTTGAGAGAGATTGAACGCCTTCTAAATACTCAATATTGATTGTTTAATACATGCACAAACGAAGGATACCTATTGTCATATGAAAGTGTTTAAACATTTTTAAGAGATTAATTATTCCTTTTCAAAGATCATTTCTCATCTTTTTGTTAATAGGATATTTTTGTGTGTCTTTGAAGACAATTTTTTATTTTTTTTTACCCAGAAAAGACGTGGGGCTATTTTAGTACTTAAAACTAATGTTAATTTTATAAAAGTTACAGATTCAAAAAGCAGGGCTCTTTATTCAACTTACAAATCCTATTATTTTATTTCTAAATCTAGTGAATTTTAACATCTTCCTTTAAAGTAGCCTTTTAGATGTTGCAAGAATAAAATTAAGATAATATCCATGAAGTCTTTGGAGACCCTTGTAACAGAGATTTTAGATAAATGTTTCATTCTACTGAGAAGCTAAAGCAATCTGCTAAAACCCCACAAAATTTATTTTTTAATTGTAGAAATTTGGAAGCTATTTGGTTTCTGTTATAATTATAATACCTAGATTAAACACACAAAAGTCAAATTAAAATTAAACTTATTTGCTAAAAATAAATAAATAAATAAAGTGGTCTTTTATTAATATTTGGTGTCACTCACAAACTTAGTTAATTAAACCTCACTTAAATATTTTAAATTTAATATTCCTTCTACTTACTGCTTCTAACTAGCAGAACTTAACCAAATGTTTAGAACAATAATGTATCTAATAAATTACAGTTGAGAATTATGTGAATCTTCAGTTCTCTTAAACATTTCAATGCTTTTTACAAACTTTGTAAACCTATCTTAATCTTTTCAACTTAAAAAAATCAAAACTCTAAAATTAAAAATTCAATTACACATTTTAAGTTAGAGTCATGAGGCTAATATATCAGATCCTCTAATTAGCCAAATTATCTTAACCACTACAAACATTTAAAATATGAAACATACACAGATCATTCCCAAAGTTAAGGCAAAATAATTAATTTCATTGGTTGTCAGTTCATTATTTCTATATGTAAGGGTCAATTGAGTTTTATCATCCAAGCAATTTGGGGCTATTATCACAAGCAAGTTGATTTGAACATTCCAAACAAACAAGGTTACCTGCTTAGCCGCTGATATCAAACCAAAAATTTTTGATCAAAACACCTCTAGAGCAGCCAACATCTAGGGCAGTTTTTCTTGCAACACTGACGCAACTTGCGCCCTATTTTTATGGTCACTTTGCAATTAAAGGCATCATCCCCACTCTTCTCCAAGTGAAACTGTCTTACACCCCCATTCCCTGGATTCAGGTTATGTATTACCTAATACTCAAGGTTGTATTCAATTCATTTATTTACTGCTTGATTCTATTCTTTACTCTTGTCGTATTCTTCCTTTTTTTTAGGGACACAATTCTTATAGATGTTTTTATGATATCCAATTAGGCTGTGCATATCTTGCTATCTGTGTCATGCTAATGATAGTACTCTTTACCATCACTGCCACTCTTCTTCAGGTTACTATATATATGATGGGAAAGGCCTGGGCAAAGGATACATTTCATAGGTCTCCAGAGTAAGGATTTTAATGCTTCCCTACCCTCTTGGGCCCTGCTCTTGGGTCATATGCCTTAGCCTGAGAAGGACCAGTCAGAAATGACTTGGGTTCGGTGGGTCTGGGCTGGGAAGGCTTAGATTGGGAGGACTGGGGCTGGCATGGCTTGGGCTGAGTGGGTTTGGATGGAGAAGCTTTAGCTTGGGGGGGTCTAGGGCTGAGAAGGCTTAGATTGGGAGGACCAGGGTTGATATGGCTTGGGTTGAGTGGGTTTGGATGGAGAGCACCTAGCTTGGGAGGGCTGGGGCTGAGAAGGCTTAGATTGGGAGGACTCAGGCTACCTCCTCAGGCTACCAGAAGCTGCGAGAGAGGGCTGGAACAGCTGCTTCCCTAGTGTCTTCAGAGAGAGTATGACCCTACCAACACCATGGTTTCAATCTTCTGGCCTCCATATCTGTGAAACAATATATTTCCCATTGTTCTAAGCCACCATTTTGTAGTACTTTATTGTGGCAGCCCTAGGAAACCTATCATACAGATGGCGTGATAGTTCTGAGCCTAAGCCTAAAAATGCCTTCACTACTCTCTCTCTCTGTCTCTCTCTGACTTCTCTCCCTCACCATAAGAACATGCCTCGTGGAATCTGAGAACAAGTCCAGACTAGCTTGCTAGAGGAGAGATGAGCCTATGCCAGCTGACCACAGATATAGGAGTAAACCCAGCGAAGACCAGAAGAACTGCTCAGCCAACTATAGACACATGAACAATTATACACTCTTATGGTTTTAAGTGACCCTAATTTTGAGATGCTATGTTGAGATATTATTATTGTGATAAATAAGTGATGCAGAAAAATCATGCAAAACAAAACAATATCATGCAAGAAATACATATTAGAATGTTACCTATGGGGGCTTCTCTGGTGGCGCAGTGGTTGAGAGTCCGCCTGCCGATGCGGGGGACACAGTTCGTGCCCCAGTCCGGGAGGATCCCACGTGCTGCGGAGAGGCTGGGCCCGTGAGCCATGGCTGCTGAGCCTGCGCGTCCCGAGCCTGTGTTCCGCAATGGGAGAGGCCACAGCAGTGAGAGGCCTGCGTACTGCAAAAAAGAAAAAAAAAAAAGAATTACCTATGGAGGTAGGTGAATGGGAAATAGAGAAAAAAATGAAATAGATGAACAAAAGGGGCTTTTTGCAGAATAATGAGGGAAGTATGCAATGACTAATTAATTAATTCAACCCTATGCAACAACTGTAATATATTTAAAAAATTAAGAATGAGGTCTAAAAGCAACTATATATTGGGAAGGTGTGGGGGTGGGAGAAGAGCTGTGTTATGGGTTGAATTATGTACGCCTCAAATTCATATGTTGAAATCCTAAGCCCCAGTACCTCAGAATGTAATGGTATTTGGAAATGGGGTCACATGGTAGATGTAATTACCATTGACATCATTATGGTAAGCCCTAACCTAATATGACTGGTATTCTTATAATAAGGGGAAATTTGAACATAGAGACATGAACCCAGGAAGACAACCATGTGAAGATGAAGGCAGATTGCGGGGGTAGGGTGAGGGGGGCGAGGGTGGAGGGGATGCTTCTACAAGCCAAAGAAGCCCAAAGATTTCCAGAAAACTACCAGAAGCTAGGAACAGATTCTTCTTTACAGCTTCCAAAGGAACCAACCCTAGAGACACCTTGATTTCAGACTTTCAGCCTCCAAACTGTAGGTCAATACGTTTCAATTGTTATTGTTTTTTTTTTTTTTTGCGGTACGCGGGCCTCTCACTGTTGTGGCCTCTCCCATTGCGGAGCACAGGCTCCGGACGCGCAGGCCCAGCGGCCATGGCTCACGGGCCTAGCCGCTCCGCGGCATGTGGGATCTTCCCAGACCGGGACATGAACCTGTGTCCCCTGCATCGGCAGGCGGACTCTCGACCACTGCGCCACCAGGGAAGCCCCAACTGTTATTGTTTAAGCTACCGAGTTTGTGGTGCTATTTTGTTACAGCAGCCCTAGTAACTATGTCAAAGTTTGCTGAGGAGGAAATTACTCTTTTCTGACCCATAACTGGATTATGAATTCCCAGGATTTGGACTGAATGTGAGTTGGTAGTTACCTTCCCCTTCTGTACTCAGAACTTGGTGATGTTTATTTTCCCAGACAATATCTCTCCAAATTAAGCATTTCTCATATTTTGAATTTTCATTGAGAAATATTCAAATTCAAGACTTCCTCATCAAAATGGCAATATTTGGACTGGATCAAGACAAGCTTTATTTTGGGATTTTATCCATTTATCACAAATTCCTCTCCTGTTCCCACTTCAATAGTCAGGTTCATAACCCTCATATTCCATTGGTCACAAAGGAGCTAAAATGATGAAAAAGGCTTAATCTGAGGAACAGAAGGTAACAGCTAAAATTAGTGGTTATATGTATGATGGAGGTGACTGTAGAAATCTTTAAGTTGATAGTCAATATTTACTTTAGCTTATACTGTCCGCTGTTCCTAGGTCCTGGGTTTTCCTCCCTGTCAACACTCACCTCTGAGGAAATTCCAAGTTAGAGAGGTCCAAGAAATTTTTGTGTAGCTGCTTTGCTGCTGCCATCTGGTGCCTTTCCTCAGCCCCTCTCCCCATTATGTCATGGCAACCTGAAAATAAGTTGTTGCCTAAGTAACTATACACACATCATTCCCACACCTTCCATACTTTTCTCCTCTTCCTCCTCCAATGACATGCCAGTTTCTGAATCCTCATAATTCTGTTCTTCATCAGAGAACTCCATGGTTTCAGAATACAAAGAGTCCTCTTTGCTGTCATAGATAATGCACTCTGGGTCATCATAAGCATCCTCTTCCACGTGGGTGTCTGCATCTTCAGAGTACCCAACAGATTCTAGATATTCCTCTTTTCCTAAGTGTAAAGAATAATCTGGCTCCTCATATCTCTGTTCATCCTGTAAATACTCAATAGTTGCTGGAAATTCATATTCAACATTCTCAACCAATTGCAGAGATGTGAATTTTGGTGTGTTGTATTCCTTCTCATTTTCCCTTGAGGACCAAGCAGTTTCCCGATAACCAGCCTTCTTGTCCGTGAAAGACTCAGAGGTTTCCAAATCCAAGTGTTCTTTCTCTTTGAAGGACATGGTGATCTCAGGGTTCTCAGGCTCTTTCTCTCCAGGAATAAAAAATACCTTCCCTGCTTACCCCCACAGGTTGCGGTGGCTCTATATACTCATGTTTTAAAAGTTCTGGAAAGAATAGGAAAGGTTGGTGGATTTTTATTTTCTTTTTTTGAAATTAACAGATGTTATATAATAACTTGACTTTCCATGACCTCAAAGCATCATCTCCTTTATTTCACTGTGTAACAGGAATACCTACCACCTCCTACATAAACGGCAACGACTCAACTGGCAGAACTTCCTCCCACTGAAAAATATCAGATCACACTCCTGCCTTGCTCAAAAGTTCGAGTCTTTCACAGCAAACTCAAAGGGTAAATGAGTGAAATAGAAAACTTGAATCCTATGTTTACTTGTGGATTTACTGTGACCCCAAACCAGCTCAGACTATATAAGGCGATTGCTAATGAAATCTGATCCTAATAATTTCTAATCAAGAAGCAAATAGCTCTGATTTGGAATAAGTCCTGGAAATAACAAGACCTATTTCTCTAAGCATACGGGTGCTGTACTACCTTAGAGACCATTAACATTAATCTTTTTATCTGAGCCTCTGTCTCTCTAACATCTCTTAAAATAATCTTCACTATTTTTTAGAAAAGGAGCTACACCTGTCTCTGGTAGTAATTTACAGAACTGCTAAACAATTCATTCTGGAAGAAGTGCACCCTCATTTGCCACTAATTATCTTTGAACGTTGAAAAATTAGAATTTGATTTGCTCCAGAAAACTAAGGTTCTGCTGGCATTCTTCTCACAGAGAAAACGAAGTTGTGGACTTTCCTGATGGTGCAGTGGTTAAGAATCCGCCTGCTAATACAGGGGACACAGGTTTGATCCCTGGTCCAGGAAGATCCCACATGCCACAGAGCAACTAAGCCCGTGTGCCACAACTACTGAGCCTGCGCTCTAGAGCCTGTGAGCCACAACTACTGAAGCCCGCACGTATAGAGCCTGTGCTCCTCAACAAGAGAAGCCACCGCAGTGAGAAGCCCATGCACCGCAATGAAGAGCAGCCACCGCTCGACGCAACTAGAGAAAACCCATGCGCAGCAACGAAGACCCAACGCAGCCAAAACTAAATTAAAAAAAAAAAATGAAGTTGCTAATCTACCACATATGTGTGTTAAAAATTATTTTTCCTATATTTTCAAAATGGCTATACTAAGTGAAAGATGCAGCTTTTGGTCTTGAGGTTGTTAATACCCATGAATTCACTTACTTCATAAGGAAATCCTGATGTGTCACTAACAGTAGTCTCTTTCCAACTATGAATATTTCAGAATGTCACTGCCAGAATAATAAGTTTATACTAGCACTAAAACAAGTGCAGGTTTTGGGGACATTCCCTGGTGGTGCAGCATGTAAGACTCCATGCTCCCAAAGCAGGGGGCCCGGGTTTGATCCCTGGTCAGGGAACTAGATCCCACATTCATGCTGCAACTAAGAGTTAGTATGCCACAACTAAGGAGCCCACCTGCCACAACTAAGACCCAGCACAACCAAATAAATATTTTTTTAAAAAAAACAAAAAACAATTGCAGCTTTTGGATTGAGTTTGAACAAAAATTATAAATCCCCTAAAACAATAAGATACATCATTCCCTGCATTTTAAATCTTGGACACTTTTCCCTTTTATCATATTTCAGTGAAAATTATCTCCAGGAGAATGACAAGTGAAAATAAAAGGTTAAAAATTTTCTTTTTTTCAGGAAATCTGCCTCCTCCCTCTCAGCCCAAAAAAGTGTAGAAATTTAACTTACCATGATTTAAGTGATTTAAGTCCCAAATGGTAGCTGACTCTGAAAAAGTACTAAGTAGGGCTTCCCTTGTGGCGCAGTGGTTGAGAATCTGCCTGCCAAAGCAGGGAACACGGGTTCAGGCCCTGTTCTGGGAAGATCCCACATGCCCCGGAGCAACTAAGGCCCATGAGCCACAACTACTGAGCCTGTGCGTCTGGAGCCTGTGCTCCGCAACAAGAGAGGTCGCAAGAGTGAGAGGCCCGCACACCGTGATGAAGAGTGGCCCCCGCTTGCCGCAACTAGAGAAAGCCCTCGCACAGAAACAAAGACCCAACACAGCCAAAAATAAATAAATAAATATATATATTTTTTAAAGTACTAAGTAAACAGTTGAGAAAAAGCTGACTCCTCACTTCTCCCTTTTTCTGTACCAAAATTAACAGCTTCCAACTTTTCTTCATGGGATCTGTAATATTCTCCAGAATCTCATACTCTTCCTCAGAAATTAGCCTCTGAGAGTTAATGTGTCTAAGATACAATCAGGATCTTGGAGGATTTCAAGTAACTTTTTTCATTCTTTTTCTATGATTTCTGAGGGAACACTCCCAGTAGCCAATGTTCCTGCTTTCTGCAGAGTAGGAAATGAACTATGAAATAGTTCCAATGCATAAATACAAGTTTGGGGGGAGTTTTTTTGTTTTTGTTTTGTTTTTTTTTAAGGCAAAGAGTAATTCTATTTGGCAAAGATTAACTATGTCAATGATGCCTAGTGTTGGAGAGGGTGGATAGAAACAAGCCAAAGCAGCGGGGGAACCCAGCCCTCAGCCCCCACAGACCCTGGCTCCCTGTAGATTATCGTTTTTTGACGACTTGACTCAGTTTCATATGACTTAGCCCCTGAGAACTCCTCTGAGTCAACTCCTCTGAGAAGCCTCTCTTGAACTTCAGATTGGACTAGGTATTCTCTACTCTGAGCTCTATCTGCGATAATAAGAATGTGAATTAATTAACCCTTTTGGAGAGAAATCTGTCAATATGCAGCAATAAATAAATAAATGTGACAGATAAAAATCAAAATTCATACCATTCAGTGCAACAATTCCACTGCACTGAATAGGAAATTCTCTTATGGAAATAATCAGACAAATGCCCAAAGATGTATGTGCAAGAATCTGCATTACAACATTTTTATAATAGCAGAAAATTGAAAATAACTCAAATATCCACAAATTGGGGGTTTATGGAACAAATGTTGATACATAAACAATGGTGTTACCTAATCAGGTCTGGCTGTTCACCACTCAAAAAATCAATACTTGAGGGACTTCCCTGGCTGCACAGTGGTTAAGAATCTGCCTGCCAATGCAGGGGACACAGGTTCGATCCCTGGTCCGGGAAGATACCACATGCCCGTGTGCCACAACTACTGAGCCTGCACTCTAGAGCCCACGAGCCACAACTACTGAGCCCACGTGCCACAAGTGCTGAAGCCTGTGCGCCTAGAGCCCATGCTCCGCAACAAGAGAAGCCACCGCAATGAGAAGCCTGTGCACTACAACGAAGAGTAGCCCCTGCTCACTGCAACTAGAGAAAGCCCATGCGCAGCCAGGAAGACCCAACACAGCCAAAAATAAATAAATAAATAAAGGTTAAAAAAAAAAATACGAGAGAGGGAGAGAGAGAGAGAGAGAGAGAGAGAGAGAGAGAGAGAGAGAATGTTGTTAGAAAGGAAAGTTGCTTTTAATCAGAATGCTGGCAATCTGGGGAGATGGTGGACTCAGTGTCCCCAAAAACCACCTCTGAAACTTATGCTTGGCCATGAAAGTTTTTATAGGGAAAAAGGGAAGTAATCTCAGTTAACCATTGAGATAGGGGGTGGGAGTCGCCATCCCCCACTGTGTGCAGACTTGTATGCAGGCTTGTCAACTTCCTGTGATTTTTCTTTAGATGCTATCTTGTTCACACAGTTTGCAAGATTACTAAAGGGGAAGCTAGGGAAGAGATCTGGTCATCTGTTAATTACTTATTCTTCATTTCAACTTCTTTGATCTATAGAAAGAACCAACAGATTAGGCAACGTATTGTGTGATCAAGATTTGAAAGGCATGCTAGGGCTGGAGATGAGTAGAGCATGGGGGTGCCTGGTTTCAGGTTAGTGACAAGGCAAAAGACCTGCAGAGAGGTCTTTCCTGCAAAAAGCTTTCTCCTGCCAAAAGCTGCTTACAAATCCCCACTTGTCAGAGCATCATTCCATTTCTACGGGATCATGGGCGAAGGTCTGTCTTCTGTAACTTTTTCATTCTGACAAAGGGCACTGTATTCTTAGAGTGGAAGATGTCAGCATGGGTTTGCAGCATCTCTTTGCTGACAATTTTAGTTGCCCACTTACCTATGCAGGCAGAACAAGCTATGATTATTTTGATGCCCACCAAGATATAGATTATTATGAGCAATAGTGTTAATCCCATTCTCTTAAGGCCAGTTCTTGGAATTGTACTAGCCATAGATTCAGTACTGCTCAAGTTGGAGCAGTTTATGTCATGGCTACAGTCTAGTCATGCAATTAGCTTTCCCCTCTGGTGGCAGTTATAGTATCTGTAAAACAATTCAGGAATGTGCATCAGACACTGAGTCTGTGACTCTATTGTCCTAATCATTAATGGCTTGAGCTTGCAACTCAGGAGGGCCTGGAAGACTTCAGCTTTTCTATAAACAAGAGGCAGGAGACATGAAGGAGCCTTTGTGCTTGGGGTGGGGTGGGAGTGGGGTGCAGAGTTCTGCTCAGTTCCAATGCAATACCAAAATGAAGTTAAAAGTGATGAAGTAGGGACTTCCCTGGTGGTCCAGTGGTTAAGACTTTGCCTTCCGATGCAAAGGGGGTGCGAGTTCGATCCCTGGTCAGGGAGCTAAGACCCCACATGCCTCACGGCCAAAAAACCAAAACATAAAAGAGAAGCAGTACTGTAACAAATTCAATAAAGACTTTAAATAGACAAATAAATTAAATAAAGTGCAAAAGCTACAAAACCATTCTGCCCTCATCCCATATACCACAAAAAAAAAAAAAAGAAAAAAAAGGATGACGTAAATCTACACATATTGACAAGTAGTGATATCCATGATATATCACGGAAAACAGCACGTTACAGATCCCATTTTTATTTAAAAAGTTAATATGTGTATAGTGTATGTATACAATATGTGTATATACATATACATTATATTTAAAAGAAGACAGCCAGGAAAGAGATACTCTAACTGTAATACTGGTATCTCTGGTGATATGATTACAGTGGTATCCGTACCTTCCACTTTAAATATTTCTATTTATTTTAATAGTTTACATTTTTTGTCTTGTTAGCTGACTTTAATTTTTTTAAAAACTATCTAGTTGGTTTTTATTTTCAGTTATAGTTCACAAGAACCTGAAAACAATCTAAATAACTATCAACAGGACTGGATGAGTAAACTGTGGTATCTCATATAATGTAATATACAGCATTGAAAAAGAATGAACTTCAGTGACCCACAGTATACATAAATAAATCATAACAATATTAAGGGGACATTTTAAGTCCCCAAATATTATACGTTGCATGACACCCTTTTTAAAAAGCTCAAAATAATGTAAATACAGACACATACACACACATTTTAGGAATACACATGGAATCAGTATAATTATATAAAATGAGAAGTAAGGAAATGAACTTCAGAAGGATGGCTACCTTGGTTAGGGGAGGCTAGGGATGGGATGGGATTGGCGGACAGGGAAATCATGGAGTTAGACATAGGATATCATCTGGGAATGAGTTTATAGGTGTTTATTAAATTATTAAAGGTAAATAGTTAAACATGTAAGTGAAAGCAGGCCATGCATGGACCAATGCTGAGCATAACCAAGGCTAATGATTCATTAAATTCTGGTGTCCCTAAGGTTGAAAAAGAATAAGAGAATCCATATATGACATTAAAAATTAACTTTAGGTTGAGAGTTTTAAAATGTGTCACAAAGGTATGGGTTTCAAGAGATGTATCCCACCTAGTACTAACAATTTGATTGGCAATGTTAGTAGGTTTGCCAATCTTTTTTTTTAATTCAACTTGGTTGGTAAGGTATTCTAATAACCAGCTTCTCAAACCCCATCTCCTCCCCACTGCTCCCCTTAAATACCCTCCTCTCCCACAAGAACTTGCTCCAGGAGATCTCAAAGCTGATGGGAAGAAAAGTGTTTATTTGAAGTTGCATATTTCACAGTAAAATTTAAATTTAGGGGAGGAAGTTTAAATTCAGTTCCTTGGTAACAGGAAATCTGCATTGCACATACTTTGAATGCAAATGGAAGTGAACAGGAAGTGGGCAGGGCAAAACCTTTAAAAGAATGACATAGCCCGAAGACATGACATAAACTAATTAGAAGTAAATAGGTCCAAGATGGTAGACTAGTCTAATTCCACTAGACCTTGAGTCTCAGTATATGCTCATTGTAACACATCTGCAAGCTAAATGACACACCCATAGGCCCCACGACAGTTCCAAGGCCAACCATAAAGGTCAAAAAGTAGGCCTGGGCTTCCCTGGTGGCACAGTGGTTAAGAATCTGCCTGCCAATGCAGAGGACACAGGTCCAAGTCCTGGTCCGGGAAGATTCACATGCCGCGGAGCAACTAACCCCGTGCGCCACAACTACTGAGCCTGCGCTCTAGAGCCCGTGAGCCACAACTACTGAGCGCGTGTGCTGCAACTACTGAAGCCTGCGCACCTAGAGCCTGTGCTCCACAAGAGAAGCCACCGCAGTGAGAAGCCCGCGCACCGCAACAAAGAGTAGCCCCTGCTCGCCGCAACTAGAGAAAGCCCGCACACGGCAACGACCAAAGCAGCCAAAAATAAATAAATACATACATACATTTATTAAAAAAAAAAAAAGTAGGCCCAATTCCTAGAAATCCCCACCCCTTCCCCCAAATAGCTGGAATACTCCTCCTACTCATTAGCCTATGAAATTACCCACCCCTAAAAAACTTGACAACCCCATACCCTGGTGCCTTTCTCGCCTTCTGTTATGGCTCACACTCTGTGGAGTGTGTTTCTCTCTAAATAAATCAACTTCTTACCTATCACTTTGTCTCTCACTGAATTCTTTCTATGATGAGACATCAAGAAAAGACCATGGGTCTAAATCCTGAGACCAGGTGTGTGATCTCAGTTAAAACACCGCGGGTTCAAGTCCCAATCTGGGTTTTGGCTGGGTTCGAGTCCCAATCTGAGTTACACGGTTTCAGAAGTGAGCTGGGGGAAGGGTGGCCAGGAGATGAAGATTTGAAATTACATCCCTCTGGGCTTCCCTGGTGGCACAGTGGTTGAGAGTCCGCCTGCCGATGCAGGAGACACGGGTTCGTGCATCGGTCCGGGAAGATCCCACATGCCGCGGAGCGGCTGGGCCCGTGAGCCATGGCCGGTGAGCCTGTGCGTCCGGAGCCTGTGCTCCGCAATGGGAGAGGCCACAACAGTGCGAGGCCCGCGTACCACAAAAAATAAAAAATAAAAATAAAAAACAAACAAACAAAAAAAGAAAATATATCCCTCACATCAAATACAGTGAAACAGGTGTAAAAATCTTGTTTTCAGCTAGGAGTTTAAATTATGTGATTGTTTTTTAAGAGAAAAGTCAGCACTAATTTCATCTATTGTAGGAAAAGAAGGCAGGTCAAGCCAAGAGACCTGAACTATATCAGAATAACAGATGCAAGATTTATGAAGTCTCTATCACTCTCTGTCAAAAGGCAAAACACTGTAAGTAACAGCAGAGATTGCAACAGGTAAGACCCAATTTTGACTCCATGTTGGATCTGTTTCTTTGACTTTAGCATTTGCTTTTCGTAGCTTTTGTTATTATAATCATACATAATGGACTGCCTCAGGGAACCCTACTCACCTGTGAATGGCTGCAAGAAAGAAGAAATTAACGGTCCCCTCCCAGAGGCTGGTCATTCCAGATGTTTATCCTTTTTACTTTACTTCCTCCCCACATCTCCCTCTCTATTCTGTCTTTTTACTTTACTTCCCTCTCTGATTCTATGAAAGAAACTGGCATCCAGACCCCACTAAGATGGTTTTTTGGGGACCCTAATCTGCCATCTTTTCAGTCCGCCAGCTTTCCAAATAAAGTCGTATTCTTTGCCTCAACACCTCGTCTCCCAGTTTATTGGCCTGTCATGCAGCGAGCAGAGTGAGCTTGAACTCTGTAACAAGACCTAAACCTGGCATTTGGATAGAAATCTGGAAATGCTAAACTGGCTCCATAGGCCTCTATAGAGCCAAGGGCCTACCTGACCAGGGCCAGAATGGTGTGATTTCCAGCACACCAAAAAGGGAGACGAAGAAAAATATTGCACTCTGATGTTTACAAATTGTAATGTCTGTCATAGTGCCTGCCACACAGTTTGGTTCCTCAATGGTAGCTACCTGTCCTACCCTTCCTGAAACCGAGCAGCACCCTGTGAGGCCCACCTGGGTACAAAAGGCTTTCCATGTCCCCCTTCTCTTGTTTGTAGGAAAAAGGCCTCAGCCTCCTAGATCTTCTCTGCTGTGTTCCAAAGGGTAGATTAGAACAGTTACTAATTAGGGAAGTGAGGGAATGCAGAAACAAAAGAAAGGCAGTCAAGAAACAATAGTGCAGCAATAAAGCAGAGTCCTAGTTCCTCCCCAATGGATATACATAGTAATCTGATACAAATTTTTGAGTACTGCTATCGGAACTAAGGCCCCCAGGTGGAGGTGGAGGGTGGCTGAGCACAAGATTCCTGGAACACCACTGTTACCTCACCACCAACCAATCAGAAGAAAGTCACATGCCCTGCAGCCCTTATTTTGTCTTTAAAAACTCCCCTGAAGGAATTCCCTGGTGGTCCAATGGTTAGGATTTTGGGCTTTCAGTGCTGAGGGCCAGGTTCAATCTCTAGTCAGGAAAATAAGATCCTGCAAGCCGCACCATAGGGCCAAAAAATAAATAAATGACTTTTTTAAAAAAAAAACAAAAAATTCTTCCCCCAGAACCACTGGAGAGTTCAGGTCTTTTGAGCACAAGCTGCGCTGTCCTCGTTTGGTCCTTTCTCTGCTCCACACTCCAATGTTTCAGGTTGTTTGGCCTCACTGTGCCTCAGGCACACTAACTTGGGTTCAACAACAGTCTACACTGATCTCATTTGTCATAACTCTTGTGCTAAGCAGAATAATGATCTTCCCCAAAGATGACACAACCTGTGAA